GAGGATCGAACCCGGGTCCTGCCAGTGCTAGGTGAGCACTCTACCACTGATCCACAATCCCAGCCACTGTATAATGTTTTTAAGGTTCTTCCATGTAGCATATGTCAGCCTTTCTAAGGCTGAACACAACACCATTGAATATTCCTCATTCTGTTATCCATTTACTGTAAGTGGACACTTGGGTTGCTTACATCTTTTGTCTACTGTGAATAATGTTGTTGCAGTACTGTGTACAAAGGATATTTGAGTACTCACTTCCATTTCTTTTGGATATATATCTAAAAGTGGAATTGTTACCACACAATAATTCTATGTTAAATTTTTGAAGAACTACTGTTTTGTTTCTACAATGGCTGCATCATTTTACATTCTAAACAATAATGCATAAGGGATTCAGTTTCTCTATATAATATTTATTTTCTGGTTTTTGTTTGTTTTGTTTTTGATAGTAGCTATCCTAATGAGTGCAAGGTGGCATCTCATTGTGAGTCTTTTTAATATTCATTTTTAAATTATAGTAGGACACAATACCTTTGCTTCATTCATCTATTTTTATGTGGTGCTGAGGATCGAACCCAGGGCCTTGCACAAGCTAGGCAAGCTCTCTACCGCTGAGCCACAACCTTAGCCCATCTCATTTTGGTTTTAATTTGCATTTCCCTAAAGATTAATTGAGCATCTTTTCACATGCTTATCACTCATTTGTATATCTTCTTTAGAAAAATGACTATTCAGTTTCTTCTTCGCCCATTTTTTAATCAGGTTGCTTGTTTTCTGTTGTTGAGGTTTAGGGTTAGGGATGTAGCTTAGAAGAACAGCATTTGCCTGGAACATGTAAAGACTCTTTTCAGGGTAGTCTCAAACTTCTCCACTCAAGTGATCCTTCTACTGCAGCCTCCCAAGTAGCTGGAACTATTGGTATATATCACCATGCCTGGCAGGTCCACTGTCTTTTGAACTCACATTTCAATCCTAATTTTAATTCTTTACTTTAGTTATTGCTTGGGGTCAATCTAGGACTTCTGGGGCCTGAACTATATATGCTTTTGGAGGATTTAGAAAAATGTAACTTTTGTAAACTTTTTTTTTTGAAAGATCTTCTATTTTTTAATTTATTCATTTATATAGGGTGCTGAGGATAGAACCCAGGGCCTCGCGAGCACTCTACCGCTTAGCCACAACCCCAGCCCCTAAGCTTTTATAAACATTTATAACTATGTTCTCACTTGCTAGGACCCCTTCTGGAAGGCATCATGCAAACTTCATTTGCTTCATCACTAATCAGCCTTTTTGTAGTCACCATCACCACCACTTTCTTCTTCTTTCCCCTTGCTATTTTAAACATTTCAGAAAGTATATATAAATGATAATTGAAATATTAGTATATAGAAGAGTTAGTATAAAACATTTCTAATCAAAGAACATCATATCACTGATTATCATTATGTATATATACATATACATATATAAGCATATAATAGTTTAACTTATTGTTTACTAAATCAGAAAAAACTGAGCTTTAAAATATCTAGGTCATAATTTTCTTTATTAAATGTTTTTGAAAATCTATGGACAATTCAACTTTCTGACCTTCAGTATATACAAAATAATAGGTTAGACTTGAAGTTCCATTCCAGCCCTATTAAGTCATAATTTTTTTACTTTCTGCCCATTTCTCTACTTGCTTTTGGTGACTGTTCCTCTGTACCAACCTTCACCCCTGCTGGGGCCAAGGTTCTGCATTGCTATGAGGTTACCTCCTGGGCATTATTCTCTTGGGCCTGATGCTTCCATTGCTTAGTTATGACTCTTCCTCAAAGAGAAATTCTAGAATGTTCACAGATGATTACCTACTGTGTTAGCTTTATGTCACTACCTTTGCCTGTTGTGTTCTAGTTTGATTACTGCATTATGCCTCCTATTCTACATCCAATGCTCCTGAACACCTCCACATAGATGTCTCACAGGTACCTCAAATGTCAACGTGTTCTACACTGAACTTATCTGTCCCTCTTTCTTGGTCTTCCTCCTTGACTGTCTCTCTTCCTCAGCCTCAATGGCCTGTTCATTTTACCTTATGGATGTTTCATATCCACCCCTTTCTGTCTATTCTCACTACCATATTTTCGGTCAGCAGTTCATTGTCTCTTGCCTGAATAAATGTAATAGTTTTATTGAGTTCCAGGTGCTGAAGCTGCCATAATGACTATGAAGCCCTCTCTGTCCTGAAGAAGTTACCAGTCTGGTGAAGAAGACACACAAGTAAAGGATATAGTGCAACATAGTGAGTCTCCTCGTCCATATAGGTGCTCCTTAATTAATTTTCCTTAAGTCACAAGAATTATATAACTAATATGCAAAATCTGATTGTTTCATTTGCCTCTTAAGCTCCTCAGCAGCTCCTGATTGCCTTCAGACCAAAGTCCCAATCCCTTTGTCAAGGCATGGCAAGTTATCCCCTCCATAAAAGTGATCTTTTTTATTTTATTTTATTTTGTGGAGGTGCTGGAATTGTACCCAGGACCTCATGCATGTTAGGTAAGTGCCCGCTACAACTGAGCCACAACCTCAGCTTTCCATGAGTAATCTTACCTGCTCTACCTTTTACCCTGCTATGCCACTCAAACTGTGTTCTAGCCATATTGTACGACTTGTTGCTCCTTAAATAGGTCATGCTTTCTCATATCCAGGGCTTTGCCCTTGCTATTCCCAGACTACACAGCCTATGTTCTTTATTCCCTTTATCTAAAAAACTCATGGAGTCTGTTAAAGCACCACCTTTCTCTGTGTGTGAATCCTTCTCTGACATGCCAAGGCTAGGCTGTGTCCTTTTCAGAGTTCCTTTAACACTTACCTCACTGTGTTGCACCTTATCCTTTACTTCTGTGTCTTTTATACCAGACTGCCAACCTCTTCAGGACAGAAACTGCTTCTAAGTCATCATAGCAGTCTCAGCACCTGGAACTCAATGAGCATGTGGGTAAATATTTCTACATAAACAATCACATGATAAAAACAGGTACTAAAGATGGCCTTCCTAACTTCTCTCCTTTTCTATTGCATACCTCCTTTACTAGATCCTTTAAAAGTGAGCTGCTGGATGATAGGATTGTAAGTGTGTCATGTTATTCTTTGTTTCTGTGTATTATTTAATAACTAAATAGAATTCTACATTAAATGATTTATTTTGCCCATTTGCATTAGAGAAAAAATATTAATTCCCAGAATGCTACTCCAGATATCTTTTGAGGATGGAATTTAGGAAAAGTGTCCGTTTGGGCTATATCATGCAGTGATGACAGAACCCCATGTGATGGGGTTCAGAGTGAATTACCAATGGATCAGTGCCACAACCTCTAATATCCGAGTTAGAACTGGAAGGGAGGGATAACAGTTTTTAGTCAAAGGCAGCACTGAGGGATGAACAGGTTCCATGATTCAGCTGAGGCTACACATGAGTTTCCTTACCAGTCCTATGCTCTTCCCACTATTCAGAGACCAAAACAAAAAACACCTTCTTGTCCTAGCAAGACCTAGCTACAAAATTATGTGAAACATAGTAAGCTTTTTGAACATATATTTCTGCTTGGAATGTAAAGGATTCAAGATTTCTAAAATTATTGTCACTCTTCCTTGCCTAGAATTTGATAAAATAACACTGGTTCCTAATTCTTTTATTTCATTTAATCATTAATGCTTAAGAGAGAAAAAAATTGCATGATATTTGTTTTTGGCCATCTGCTCCATTTAAAACCTTGCAGCTACTTATTTTCTGGAAGGTCTATTAGAAGGGGATTGAGTACCTGGCATCCAGGAAAAGATGTAGCCAATTTAGTCTTTCTTTCTGGAATTACAGGAATCTGGAAACATTTCAGGATTCTATTCAATCTTTACCTTCTTTAGATTTCGGCACATTTAGACACCTTCAGTTAATTTGGTCTTCAGTTTAATTTGTTAAAATTCTTTGATTTATGACAGCTTACTTGAATTCTAAAGAGAAGTTGCATAAAGTGGGGGGATTAAATTCTGCAAAGCTTCATGGAGAACAGATTTTTTTAAAAAACAGGTATGATTCTGCATTTTAAAACTTGGATTCACATTACCTTAAATGTAATGTTTACCTGACTCATTTACTCCAACACAGGATCTCACACACACACACACGTGTATTTTTCCCCCTACCTTCAGGAGTAGAATGTCAAGAGAAAATTAGCAGTGAATAACACACTTAGAAAAGTAATAAAGTGAAAATAATGACAGTCTTTGGCACAGCCAGGAATCCTTAAGGAGCTGTAGTCTTGTTCCATCTTGTTTTCCCCCTGTCCTTTCACTCTATTCCTGTTCTTACTGATTTCTAGCCAATTCGATTTCACATGTATAAATTGTTCCACGGTCGATTAGACTGCGGAAAAGTGGGGATGCAATTGACTGGAGAGGTACACTCCCTCCACACGTGTTCATACTTGGCCTTAAGGGACAGTGCCCTGGCACACAGTAGGTCGGCCCCAGATATTGTAATAATAATACTTGTGTTTTGGAAGGAAGGGTCAAGGCAGGGATTACCGGATTCCCCATTACTCCACTACCCACATTTCTGGATGCTGAGATCAACGTCATTAGGAAACTGATCATGAGTTTGCAGCTCTTCTAGGGAAACAGCTGATTCTTGGGGTCCTGTACACGCGAGGATGCACGTGGAAAGGCTCTGTAAAGCGCAAGTGCCAGGCTTTGAGCTAAACGAAGGTGACCATGGCCTCATCTTCTCTGTCCAATTTTTTTTTTTTTTTTTTTTTTTACAGAAGGTTGCAAGCTCAGCACACAGGGCTAGCAGCCTGAGCACGGCCTAACGGGATCCAGCACACCGGGCTGGGCGCCCGTACCCGCCGCGGGGATGCGGGAATGCGGGGATGCGGGGCTGGCCGCGGCGCGGGGCGGGGCTTGACTGCGGGGAAATGACGTTGCCAGCCCCGCGCGCTCCGCGGGCCTGAGCCGCGCACCCTGGTAACGGCTGCTCCACGACTCCCGCGTCCTCCTCCATGTCCCCGCCTTCCCTCGCGGTAGCCCGCCCCGTCTCCACCTCCCTCCGCAGCCCCGGCGGCGGCCGTCTCGCCTGGCCCCGGGTGCCGCCTGCGAGCGGGGCCCGAGGATCCACGCTGCCCACGACGCCCCCTCCGGGCGCGGGCTGAGGCGAGAGCGGGCCTGGTCCCCGGCCGTCGCCGCCGGACCCCGAAGCGTCAGCCCCGCGCCGTGTAGTCTGCGGCCTCCGGCCGGCGGGACCGCCCCGTCCCTGAAAGGGTGTGACCAGGGGGTTTCAGACAGGAGGGCCTCTTCGGCGGAGGCTGGCAGACGCCAGGGGTCGGGTCGGGAAGAGACCGTTTCGGCTCTTGCCTCCCAGACGTGGTTGCTCCGTGGGCCTCCCGGTGGGCCTCCCTGCGGGCGCGGACACAGGTGCCCCGGCCGGGGTCTATCGGGAAGATGGCGACCCCGGGCATGAGCTGGCAGCAGCACTATTACAGCGGCTCTGCAGCCGGGGCGGCCAAATTCGCACCCTCGCCGGCCGCGGCGCAGCTGGCTGGGCACTGCGTGGACTACAGCCAGGACATGCACCTGAAAATGAGCAAGAAAATCGCCCAGCTTACTAAGGTAAGGGGCGGGGCGGGGATGGAGGCGACCCTGTGCGCGTCGAGCCGGCTCACCGGCCCGCCTGGAAGGCAGTGAGCCCAAGGGGGCTCCTGGCGAGAAGCAACAGCCTGAGATTTATCTCCAAAACCACTCAAACTTAGGTGGAACGCTGACGACGAGGATTTAAACTAGGCAGTACCACTGGATTTATGGGACTTGCTGAATTCATGGGACTTGCACCTCTTTGTCCTTTAGGGTTAACCCACGCAGAACAAATTAGGGTTTACTTTCTCAGTTTCACAACGGTACACGATTTTACTGTTGCTCCCAGGCATCTGCCAGGGCTCCAGGAGGCATCACACTACAGTACCACATGAAGTACAGTACCGTATTTACCTAACATGACCCGAATCCTCGGAATTAATGAGTATCTGTTATTGGTTACGCATTTATGGAGAGAATAAACTTTCTGAGATTATTCCAAGGAATGTAGGAGGGTAAAACATACCTTGTGTGCCATTTGGGGGATTTAATGAGTCATTCTTTATACTGATAAAATGTCAAACAAGGCTTATTAGATGAATCACACTGTGTCAGCGTTTTGTTAAGTGGTTCAGTTTACCAAAAGATAGTTTTCAAAGAGCAAATCACTTGCATGTTTACCAACTGTGATTTAGGATGGCACCTGTGTTAGTGAGCTCTTCTAATTTAGTAAATGTTGATAATAGAAAAGAGTTGGTGCCTGAAGCAAGAGAAGTTTGGATCAGTTATCCTGCTCTGTTTAGATCTTACTGGCAATTTAGCAATACCCATTAAGTGTGAAGAAGTGATTTGTGATTTTTGGAAGTTAGTAGAGGTGATAACTACTTAATGAGTGTTGGTATGCTGAGATGAAGACATAGGGCAGGGAGTCGCAGGATATTACTAGGTAAACTGAAGTCTGACTCCAAAATTCTCAGTATATACTTTCACTATTGGTCTTTTTGAGAGAGTACACTAAGTCATTAGAATTGGAAGGAGGGAAAGGAATAATAAAAAAGGAATGAAACGTAATAAAACAAGGAATAAATGAAGGGTAAAAAGATTTCAGTGAAGAAATGTTATTGAGGTTAGAAAAATAATAAGGAAGGACTAAAGAATAAGGGAACAATGGAGGTGAAAAAGAAAAGGTGTAGGTATTTAACAGTAAATCTCAACCATGCAAAGCAAGCAACATTTTGTGAAATGGTTTTTGTTTGTTGTTCTTTTTTTTTTATTATTGGACGTCAACACAGTCTCAGGTTGCTAAGTATCCAGTTTTTACTATTTCCTCTTGTGACAGAGAGTACCAAAATTCACAGAAAGAAAGAACTAGGAAGAAATGATAACACAGAGTCATCAGAGCATTTCTACAATTGGGGCTCTCCTGCAATAGCATTTGATCTTCATAATATTAATGTTCAAAGTGAAGTACATGAGTATTTATTTATTTATTATGATTTTTTCTTAGAAGATGTCCACACATCCTTTGTTCTTATTTTAGATTGTAACCCCCCAGAGTTCTGCTGTAATAGAAACACTCAATAAATCGGTAGTGGAACTGTGTATTCTTTAATGAAAGCTGTTTCACTTCAGTAAACTTTATTTCTTTCTACTTACACTGTTCAATTTCCTGTTCTTTTATCAGAAAAAAAAATTCACAGAAGGTAGGATATTACATGGATGTTGATAGCACTTTCAGCCTTCACACCACGCTCCTTGAATCTAATAAGCCACTGTCCCTGTGCCAGTGCTTCATCACTGCAGAGTGTTGTATCTAATCCTTCTTGGGGGTTACTGGGACTCTGATCAGTGTTTGTAGTTACGGTATCTAAACACTGTCACCACCCCATCAACGTCTTAAGTGCTTCAGACATTTAAAACCTTATACTAGGGCTTCTCAGTGTTGCATTGGTTGATTCCTTGTTGATGATCTATCTTGTGCATTATAGGATGTTTAGCAGTATCACTGCCCTACATAATTGGTGTCAGTAGACTTCCACCCCAATTGTTCCCTCCCCATTATCATGATAGTAAGCATTACCAGATGTTCCTGGGGCAGAGTGGGGCAAGGGAGAGGTGGCAAAATCATGCCAGGTAAGGGACGAATACCATTGAATACTGAAATATCTATAGAAGTTCTTCCACCTCTACCTCTTGCCTTTATATTTACTTGAGATGAAGTCTGACAATGAAACAATCCTGTAATAGGACTCTTGATACAGCCAGTTCCCTTTAGTTCCTGAAAATGTACAATAAGACCTGCTTTTCTTATGTACTATTTGGAAACTGTCAAATTGTAAAGTCATATACACTTATTGCAAATACTATGCCATAAGCACGGCATCATGAATGTGTGTACATACATATATGCATATACACATATGTGTATATATGTATGTCCATATATATTATGTATGTGTATATAATTAGAAACTCTGTTCTTCTCCATAAGAGTTTTACTCATGAAGAGTTTACTAATAAATTCACACCAATAGAGAGATTAAGTAGAACTATGGATGCAACTTGTTAATATCTTACATTTCTATTAGATAATATAAAGGTAACTATTAAAGTAGGATCTATTTTCTGGGGAAGGGAGTCAGTAAAAATCACTCCTCAGCCTTATAGTAGCAGTATAATTAAAAATATGCCTTGGGAATCTGGCACACATCCTGAATTAAAATTTCCACTCCCCTACTTGCTAGTAGCATGACCTTGAGCAAGTCACTAAATTCTGAGCCTCAGTTCCCAAATCTTTAAAGTAAGGATGACAGTACCTATTTTAGAGAGTTATAGGCTCTTCATTCAGGCCATCATTGAAAATATTTACTGTATACTAATAGTATTCATGAAATATTTGCAGTATATTTTAAATACCCCTTTAAAATTTCTGCTTTGGGTACCATTATATCATAGTGTATTTATTTGAGGATTTCTCCCAAACTCCAAAAAAATGTATATAGTAGTTGTTTTCTTATTTGAATATCAATAAAGGTTTTACATTCACATTGTTTGTAGTATAGTATTGAAAGGCATGTTAAGAAATCTGGCTGGCTTTGAAAGGGTAAGGGTGACAGTTTTCTACTATACAGTATTGTATATAATAAGGTTCAGTATGTTTTTAACTGAAGAAAAAGTCTCAACTGAATGCATAATTGTTCGTATTCTGTCTTTCAAGAGCCTAAGATAGCAGCTTCTTGTGGTAAGAACTGCAGTTCTTAAAGCAGGTTTTATGTAAGGGTACTTTTCTAAGTGTTAGAAATGCAGTGGGGAGCAGGACATAGTCCTCGGCCTGTTAAAAGATGTCTAGCATATTTAGGTGAACCATGTCAAATTTTAAGAATTAATATTAGATTCTTGAATTAATAATAATTCTCATGTTGTGGCATAGTTCTGAAATTGTTATGGTTGAACCATCTCAGTAAGACAGGGAAGCTGGGTGGAATCCATTCTGTTTTATAAGATCACATTTACATACTTCTCTGTTTGTCCTTATGATACTTCCCCACCCCTGCCTGGTACTGGGCATTGAATCCAGGGGGACTGGGGCTGGGAGCTATATCCCTGGCCCTTTTTACATTTTATTTTGAGATAGAGTCTTGCCAAGTTGCCAAGGCTAGTCTGTAATTTAAGAATCCTTCATCTGTCTCAGCCTCCTGAGTAGTTGGAATTACAGGCATGTGCCATTGCTTCTGGCCTTTTGTTTGGACTCTATAGTGCAATAGATTAAAAAGGAAACTGGTAGGACATAATTATAATAGTATTATTTTTTATCTCTTTTTTTTTTCTTTTTTGGCCCCTTTCTGTCTCTTTCAATTTACTCTTAGGCTGGTTTATTCTCTGACATGAGTGAACTTGATATTTCTGGTTACTCTTAGATAATAAAAATCATCCTTCAATAACTAAGTCACAAAGGTCTCAGCTTGATTATTAAAATGACAGTGCAAATAAACAAATAAAATTTCTAGACCAAACCCAAATTAAAGATGAAGCTTCTCCCCCTATGCACATTTTTTTTGGCCCTGTGTTTTGCAAGGGACAAGTTAGTAATTGGGGAAGGACTTCATTGACTTTTTTCCTTCTGACCCTGCTTTTCTACTCTTCCTTCTTTGTCTTGCCAGTCCTGGTTTCAGATCCCTCCAAAGTTGGAGGAGGAAGAAGGAAGAGGAGGAGGGAAAAGGAGCTTCAGAGCTTTAGCTAAGAATCTAGATGATGATCTATCTTTAGTGCTTTTATAGTCTTGGTAGATGTTTCAAGATTTTTCACTTGAGAATCCTGTATCTTTCATCTTAGTTGCTTGAGACTTTCACATTAAGTTCCTTGAAAATGAAAATGTATTCTGGCTGGTTGCTGGCTCCTTCCTCAGCTCTTGGAGCTGGCAGTAAGTATCTTCATCATCATTTTGTTGAAGTCTGTTCAGGTTCCAGATAATCCGTTTGGATGGATCCATGTGACTCTACCACAGCTTTCTGTTTCTTCCTGTAAGACCCATATCTGGTCCCTAGGAACTAATCATTCTTTGTACAAAACTAGGAGTGGTCCTAGTTCAGCCATCTCTTTTGTTCTCCAGTGCATCTTCATTCATCTCCCATTCTTTAGATTTTCCAGGGATGAATCAGGTGTCTAGGTCAGATGTTCTTGAAAATGCTTGAGACATGTATCAAGCCCTTCATATGATCCCCTCAAAGCCTTTTTTCCTGTGCTAGAGGTGTGGAATGAGAATTTTCTCTCTTCCCCATAAAAAGGCCTGGGTCCTTATTACCATAAATCTCATGAATATCTCCATAACCAGCTCTGTAATCTCCTTGAAGTCACATTTTACTAGTGTTGGTTGAGGGTAGGAGGTAAGACACTTCTGACATTCCTTTCTTTAGACTGCCTCCTTTGAAATTTTAGGAAAGTTCTGGCATCTGCTTTGGAGTGTTAATTCTGTTGTCTTTAGTTCTTAGTAGAAACTTCCCTTTTAATGTCCTGCTGTGTTAGCTTCTTATGAAAGGCCT